CAAGAGGAAAAATGGGAAAAACATCTTCTTGACTGTAGTATCTCCCAAGACTAACTCTGCTCCTCTGTTTATTTCATACTGACCGGTTTTCTGTCCCAAGATTTTGTAATAGAGGTAAAATGTAGTAACTTGTTTTATTCACGCAGCTTACTGCCAAACCACTTGAAAGGTTTGCAAACCCAGAACTCTGGAAATACAGATTTAACAAAAACATTGCTCTAGCTAGACTTACTTAAATGTCACAACTGAAAGATTTAGTGTGCTTACTCTCTGCTTATTAAGTAAATATTTCCAGTATTTCCAAATTAAGAAACTCTACAACTGAGACTAAGTGAATACAACATAAGCTCCAGGAGTAGAGCAGATTATCTACCGGGAGAAAATAAAGTTACAGGTAAAAAAAAGTTAATGTTAACCTTTAAAATGCAAGTATTCTTAGCTATCCCAGTCTAGTAATAAGGAAGAATAGCAAGCATTAAAAGTGATCTGAATTTTGAAGTAATTACAGAAAAATAAAACTCAATGTATTAACTCATCCTGGAGGAAAAACCAGAGTAATCTAATTCAAACTAGTCTATGGCTGTCCAGAGAGATTACCTTCTGGAAGTAGAGTAATTATATTTGTAAAGTAAAATCACTTATGCCTGGGGTGAGGAGACCCAAGGGATATTTTTTTTTTTTAATTTGAAATGCATAAAAGCTTCAGAACGGCACGAATACTGAGAAAATAATTTTGTGTACAAAAGTATGCATTCTGTGTAATGGTCTTTATCAGTGCTGGTAAACAGATATGTGTAACCAGTAAGACTTTAGAACACCAGACGTCAAGCATGAACAGACATATAGTTCCACTTTTTCATATAGTGCCCATGCATTCTCAGCTACGTAGCAGAGTGTTTTGGAACTTCTTGCAAAAGCACTTCTTGCCAAATTTGTAATTAGACTAATCCTTATAACTCTAAAGAAAAAATTCCTACTGGTTTCACTGAAAATTTCTCTATATAGGTTTTTGCCAGTACCTTACAAATGAGATTACTTTAAAAAAATAAAACACTATATTCTTATGAGCTCTAACTTACTTAATAGTCCACATAAAGTGTTTTAATTCAACATCTCCAGTTAATAGCAAGACCTAACAGCACCATTCTGACAATCTCACTGTGATACAAAACTGTCTCAAAATAGTTTTGGTGGCTTTATGGAGAAATGAGATGCACGGTCAAACAAGGCCTAACTGTATGTCTTGTCTACAGAAAAGAACTTTACTAGGAGCCAGAAGGTCAAGTTTTGAACAGCTAAAAAGAAACAAAGTGAAACAATACCAGAAGCTTGGAATCAGGTATGAAGCATTCACCTCTCTTGGAAATTTCAAATGACTTATGACAATACATCTTGAGACCCTCCACTTTATTAGGAGTCCAGCTGCTGAACAGTCCACCCTCCTCTTTTCCATTTCCTATTCATTAGTACCAATGAAGTACTTCCTTCTGAAGACCCCCGTTCAACAGTTTTACTGTTGCTGCTTACAGCTTTCCTGAACTGTAATAGCATGGAATCTGACCTAAGACTGAGAACTGTACGGTAAACTTGGTAAGAATTATGCATTTCATTCTGCTGCTGTTTAGTTAGTCTGTGCTGTTTGCAGAGCTATTTGCCAGGATTTGGCAGTTAAATGCGTACGCTTCAATTCATAGCTAATAAATTCCATTCAACAGTAAACTTGCATGCTTCCAGGTGACAGCACAAAAAATCCCAGCAAACAGGCTGCAGTGACTTCTCCAAGCAATAGACTACTGGATGGGGGATTCGCTTTTTGATCCAATTACTAGACCAAGATTTTGAAATGTATCAAGTTTTGGCTACAGTGTTTTGTTTTTTTTTTAATTGTATTTAGCTACTTACTTGTTAAGTAGCACCGGCTTATTTATCACTGTACGCAGCTAAGCAAGCAGGCACCCATACAAAAATAGCGGGCTCCTGTCACTCACCCAGAGCACTTCCCCAAGTTCGATGTCACGGCGTAACCACTAGAGGGAGCGTTCGAGCCACAGTTCCATCGAGAAACGGGAGGGGCTCTGCCTCAGACTTTCATACTTGACACTCGGGACTTGGAAATAATGACATTAAAAACACCTTTCTACACCTTTTAACAACACCCAAAGCCTCTTACCCTTCTCACCAGTGTACACATCCAGTTACGCTCCCAGCCTGATAGCAAGATTTCTAACAATGTCTTGATCCCTAAGACCTACATCTTGGGAGCCGGGGCGGGGGCGGACGGACACAGACAGAGGGATGGATGGAATTTTTTCCTACCTCATTATGCATCAAACTTAAGAGACAATTCAACTGCCAACTTTTCAGTGCTCTCCTACGCCTTTCCTAACGTTTATTTTAGTGTGTTTATTGCCTGTCCTCAAAACTGCCCAAACATTTCTCCCTTCTAGCAGCGGGAACATGGAATGGACATGATGCCCACAGGCAGCAGCAGCAGGAGGAGGATTCTCAACCACCAGTCAGAGCAACTCAAACTCAGTCATTACCTCTATAGGACCAGCTAATGTTACAGACGTGCTGTTTAAAACCCGGTAACACTGGTTGCCAGTTTATCTTGCTTCCCAAAGAACAGTGACTCAAATGTAGTGTGCCCATTTTATCACTCTTGAGCCAAGACACCTATGAGATTATCAGAGAGCTAATGATGGACAACTCTCCTCACAGAACAGGTTCATGCCAAGGTTAAATTTTATCTATGCAGCAAGTGGGCCACCCCGGAGAAAGCTATGAAAGAATGAAACAAAAATCACAGAGCCAGCCCAAATATCACTAGTGTTTCACTTCATAAATAAGCTTCACATGAACATAGCTTTAAATATCACACATAGCAATGTACACACAAGAGTTTGTCCTCAGAGGGAAGACCACATACGACAAATGCCAATTACATCAAGCAACATGCTTCTGGAAGTTCCTCAAATACTACATAGATTAAATCTATATAAAAGAGCTTCGCTGATCAGAACTGAACACATCAAGCACTGCTCATCCCATTTTGCTATTGCTTACCAAATCTAGTGTAAGCAGCAAAACTGTACCAGTAGATCTGGGAAGAGCGACTGAATATCTGCATGATTTGAGTTCAGATGACTGCCTTACACTCACACACTCTATAAACATCAAGTTTCACTTAACAATTTCTCCCTGCCCACATGTTCTTTACCAGTGAATGCATAAACTGAACTTTCAATTGTTAATTACACCTCCTCCTCCTGCACTTCTAGTGACCCGAAAAATGCAAGTGAAGCTGTAAGAAGCAGTATACGGTAAACTTAATATCATTCAAGCAATTTCTGTCCAGCAACACTGTGCTTTCCTACAGCACAATAGTTCACAATTCAGTAAGGAGAATTGCTTGGAAAGGCAAAATAAACTTTTCGCTCATTTCATTCACTAGACTGTAGTTTGCCTTCCCAGTTTCAGAACTTCTGTTGTATAAGCAGTTTCATCTTGCCAAAAAGACTTCTGTAAACTTCAACAGTGGATCAGGAAAGGCATGGGGTGGAATTTTAATAGGAGGATATGTAAAGGCTGACTTACCAATTGGCCCACTGGCTTATTAAAAAAATAAATCAATGTCACATAAAAGTTGTTGAGATGTTTTACATACAAAACCTCTCACATGCTAGCTGCATGCATATCTCTGAACATAACATTGGTAACTAATGAATGAACATGGAATCAAATATTTTTTTAAAAACGTATCAAGGAATGTAATAACACAGTCAGAATGGCTGATATATTTTTCTTTCATTCCCCTACAGATTTACTTGAGTGCTCCCCTACATTGTGTTATTAGTTTTAAGAAAAAGCTTTACCCTACCTTTTTACCCTCAGTCTATTTACCC